CCTGTGGTTTTTTTTTTTGTTTTTCTGTTAGATCCTGAATTTTTTTGGAGACTTTGAACAGAAGCTATTGTAATGGCCATTTGAAAGGGAAAGGAAGTGAGACGAAGCTTGATTTCAATACAGTTCATCATGCAGTGACTTCAGGCAGCAGTTGCTTCCATTCAGACTCACAGTGGATATTTAGTTATTCTTAAATCATTGTGTTCCAATTTAATAAAACTGATACTGCTGAATTATTTTTTTTTTTCTGAAGCACTTGCTTCTGTTATAGGAATCTTGAAGTATTATTACTATTGTTATCATTATTATTATTACAAAATAAATGTATAAAGAGAGAGGGAGTAAAAAAAGCATAGTGGCTAATTAGTGGTTATTATAATGGAATTAGCAGCTCTTGGAATGCCAGGTTCTTCCATAGTCCTAAAGTGACATGATTGTGTAATGCCAGATAGGCCTTTTGAGTTACTGCAGCCCAGCAAAGTGGTTAAAGATAGACATTTCTAAGGAAAACTGAATTATAGGAGTGCATTGGGAATACTTTATAATGGCACTTACTTTGTTGAATATATATCAAAATGATGCTTTCCTTGCAGAAGCTGAATATATGACTCTCTGTCTGAGTGTCTGGCTGCAGTCCAATGAGAACTTCTAATTAGTTTTGAATGTACATTTATTTAATGTGGTGTACATATATTTCATATTCAGTTCGGCCATTACAGCTGAATAAAATTAAGCTATAGATTTATTTGTAATAATGCTGTAGAAAGCACACTCAATACAATCTTTATATTCAACTGTACAGATTCTTGGCAAAAATAGAGTAAGGATTGAAGCAGGAACTGGAAAAGCAGTATGTGCATTTTAGATCATAGAATAGTTTGTGTTGGAAGGGACCTTTCAAGGTCATCTAGTCCAACCCCCCTGCAATGATCACAGACATCTTCAACTAGATGAGGTTGTTCAAAGCCCCATCCAACCTGTATGTTACACCAGTAGTACAGCTGTACTTTAGAATTTAGTCAAATTCTGACTTTAGAATTTAGTCAAAAATTATTTTTCTCCATTTATTCTCAACATCTGGGATGATTTCTCTAAGTAATGTTTTGAAGGCAATTTTTATGAAAATCTGAATGGTTTTTGTTTGTCATTAAATGTTTCGTATTTCTATCTCTATAGGGCGTTCCAGGAGTTGGAAAGGAGCAGGCTTTAAAGTTAATTGGTACTTTGCAAGGTCAAAACCTATTGCAAAGGTAAAATGAAAATTTATGTTGTATGCTGAAGTACTGTGATTTTATTCAAAGACTTGCTACTATGTGTTTCAGCTCCAAGACAATTCTTGTAATACTTTAATTTTTTGGGGGGAAAAAGATTACCACATTCTTTACTTTGTTTGCTAAATTAATGACACATTTTGCTAGGCAAGCTTCTTAATTGTTTTAAACAATAACTGGTTCCTAGCTCTCGAGCTAGCAGATGTAAGTTGATGTATTGGGAAGGAAGTCATAGGGACTGATGAGAGACTTTTGCTGATTGTTAATTGGGTTATGAATCGGGCCATGAGCTACCAAATGCTTTCTAGGTTTGTTATCGTAATGTGTGTGTCAATACTAGAACAATCATATAATGTACTTTAAAAAAAAAATCTATTTCATAAATTAGAAAACTCTATTTATTTGTCTGGTAGATGCCTGAGAAGTATAAAGGGAGTATTGTTCAGTGTTTTATTTTAAGTAAGAAAGTTAAAAATATTTGTTAATCCTTTTAGGTTTGAACAATGGAAGGAACAATTCCGGTATGATAATAATCCACCTTTGGTTGTTAAAAGAGTAATTCACTGTTCTGAGTGCCATCATCCAGGTCAGTATGAAAAGCACTAAGTTCTGTTAAATCTGTTTTTAGCCTAATCATTTGGTTACTTTTTGTTGTGGGGTGGGAGATGGTGGATTTTTTTTGTTTGGTTAGGTTTTGGGGGGTTTTATGACTTGCATTAAAAAACCGCTTTTCTTGTCATTTAGCATCTGGGCTGTCTTCATATTTCAATATTATGTATGTGTCTTTAAATAAATATTTTCGAGGCTGGGGACTACCTTTCTTCAAATGGAATGTTACGACAATGCTGTTTTGTGATCCCAGGTATTTGCCTTTTTAGCATTATCAGTGAAGGAAATATGCTATACTGACAAGCAACTATTTCTTAACTTGCCTGAACCAGTCGTACATCAAGAGGACTGAATCCATTAGCATTGCTGGGTTTTGCTGCAGTGATTTCTTAAAAAGAAATTAATCTTAAGGAACTTAATTTTTGGTAGCATCTTTGCTCAGTGAACTTGTTCAAACCCATTACGTGGAGAAGGAAAAGCTTGTTTCACATCTGTTGCTTAAATACATTTGCCAACTTGTCAGGGACTACTTCTGTAGTTTTTGGGTAATAAAGTTTTCAGCATAAAGTCTGAAACCGTTGGGGGAAAAGTCTTCAAAAAAATGGAAGTTTGCTTGTATTTGTCAGTTTTCACTGTAGGTACATAAATGCAGCTAATGCCTTCAGATCTGCTTACAGCTACTATTCATGTCAGATTCATGTGTATTCTGAGCTTTGTATTTGTACTGTTAGCTTTGTATATTTGGAGATTTTGGAAACCTCTTTTCTTTTCATGCTTTGTGCATCTGCTTCTGTAGGATCTTACAAGGACCATGAGCACAGTGGATGTAAATTCTGTGAAAGCACTAGATACTGCAAACCAAATGACTCCAAATACTGCTGCCCTTGTGAATGGCACCAGTTAGAGCGAGTGAAACAAGCAAGTGCAGTGGAGGACAATATCAGAAAGTAGGAATATCTTGAAAATTGAACTGCTTTTCCCTGCGTTCATGTGCAGGGTGAGCATTTAAATTCTGCATTTCTCCCGTTTGTTTTCAGTTTCTAACGCGTTTGTTTTACCTGCAGAAAAGCTAACAGTTGTGAGGGCTTTCCATTCTCTGAGGTAACAAACAAGCATATTTAAAGATTAATTTTTTTAATCAATTAAGTGAAATTTCAGTTTTCTGCCCTCTCTTAAACTCTTTTTGTTTTATCTCAAGGTTATCCAAGAATTTCTTGTAAACAAGAATAAATTGATCAAGATAAAGGAATGCCAAAGGCCAAATTTATTGTCCTTTCAGGTATATAACAAAATACTGGATATTCAGCTCTGTAGTTTTTTGTTTAGTACTAAGAAAAGCATCTGTGATAATTTTGATCTTCATAGGTAATTTTACTGGAACTAAGAATTAAAGAATCTTGCTACAACTTCTTAATTTATTTCATTTTTGAAAGCCTGTAATTGAAGACTTTGAAAAAAAATTAGTTGATGTAAAATGTATGTGGAGAAGCAAGAGAACTCAGAAAAGAGGTCACTTGCCGTTCTTTTGTCATGATTGTGGACTTCATTGTTTTAAATGTTAAACTTTCTTTTCAATGATTTTTTTTTTTTTTGTATCGAGATAACCAGCTTCTGTGTATGAGTAGAAGTGGATTTTATTCTGAATGTTGCCTGTTTTCCCAAAACCAGATAGCAGGCTGGTATATAGAATAGAATAGACTGTCCTTTCAGTTGAAAGGGACCCAAAGTGTTCATCCAGTCCAACTGCCTGACCAATTCAGGGCTAATCAAAAGTTAAAACATGTTATTAAGGGCATTGTCCAAATGCCTCTTAAGCACTGAGAGGCTTGGGGTATCAACCACTTATTTAGGAAGCCTGTTCAAGTGTCGGGCACAGTACTGCCAGCTTTCAAGTTCAGAGGCCTTTTAATTCAAAGTACATGAAGCTCAAAAGTGGTCTGGCTTATTCCTCTGTCCACAAAAGAAAGGATAAATAGCCTGCGAGGCCCTTTCTTCTTGGGAAAGGGGAGAGGGAAGCAGAGTCGGGGAGGGTGTTAATGTATTCATGTTAGCATTGTTTTCTAAGAATGATTTTTAATAATTTCTTATTGGTGAAAGTAGATCTTTTACAATATTTCATTTTCTGAGATTGATTACAGTGTGAGAATTACATATAGCATAATAGCCCACTGCTGAGCAGAGTAGCTTTAATGAAAAGCCTTATTCATCCTTCTCTCACATGCAAAATCTGAAATTTTCACAGCTCCTTGCATAGCTGATCTGATACCTGATTAGGTGTTTAGCAACTGTCTTATTCCTGC